GACTCTGTGCAGACTCTGCACGACGTGCTGCACAATCACATACCAGTACCCCTAGAAATCCGTGAAATCCTCCTTCCGGTGCGAAATCTCCAGAGCTTTGACCTGCGCCGCTTTCCCATTCCTCCGACCGATAACCCTCCCGCTCTCTTGCAACAAGCATCGCTCTTCTCGCGGGAGCCAGGCGAGTCCTTAGACGCAGGAAACGCAAGGATCCTCCTGACCCGGCCAATACCTCGCATTGAAGACTTACTGGCAATCCTTGGTCCAGCCACAATTTTGCCTGCCATCCATGCGGGCAACACATCATTCTGTTACCCCCTCGACGTCAGCATGAGCATTACAAGGCAGAACAAGAAGTTGCCGCTCTGGGTACTTGCCTACTGGTTAGAGGTGCACCGAGTTGTCGTTGCCAAGAGGGAATGGGATGCGGCGGCCAATTGGCTGGCTACGCATGTCGGAAGCCATCCCACTGCAGTCAATCCGATCTTCGAAGTAGCGATATCTGTCCTAGACAAGTGGCCATGGGACACTGCTCTGCCGGAAGTTATGGGTGTCGATCCACTGACATTACCAAAGTACTGCAGTGCTCGCTGGCTTTCCGCAGAGCACATGGACCAGATGGGTGCGGTCATGGACTGCGCGTTACAGAAAATCCAGGTAGAGGGTGCTGGCGCCTCTATCCTTCGCGGCACGTTCTTCATCAAGCTGCTGCAAATTTACAGGCGCTACAAGTCAACATCAGAGGATATCTATCGCACAGAACGCAGTATCTCTCACCTTCATTCTGCTGGCGACCTTCTCGGGAATGGAACAGTGAAGGAACTCGGCTTCTTTGTTGGTATCCGCATCCAGTCTGATGGAGCGATTCTTCCTCAGCTAGTCCACGAAACGAATCACTGGACATCCGTCGTCATCAGTCTCAAGCCGTTGACAATACACTACGGAGATCCTTACCACTCTGCACCGCCAACAGAGTTGCTCGATGCGCTCCACTGGTGGTTGCAACACCATCTTCCCGATCCAGAGGACCTTCCATTCACCCAGATCATGCACTGTACGAAGCAAACCGACAGTTTCTCGTGCTCTGTTCTCAGCAATAACTGCATGGCGCACCACTTCTTCCCCGATCAGTACCCTCTTGCTGCGTCAAACGAATGTGATCAGCTGCGCGTCATGCAGCTTCTTCGCGTCACAGAACATCTCCTTCAAATGGTATGTATCGGTTCAAGCTCCAAGCTAAGAAATCACTTACTAAAGACATTGTCCAGGATCCAGCGTATTTCGCCTCGGTGAAGATGCCGCCAGGTAGTCTAATTGCAGCATCGGCTTTCACAGATGGCGGCTTCTTGAAACCAGTCGTTGCTCCGAGTGCAAACCCAATGGGTGCAGAGAAACGTCCGTGGTCAACTGCAATCGAAGCTGGATCGGAGCCATCAGCATCGTCATCCAAGCGAATCAAGAAGAAATCAGGAGCGGCGGGAGGCCCTCCAAGTCAAGCCTCCGAGCGCGGGACAAGGAGTGAATGGAGCAAAATTATGCCCACGCTATCAGGCAGCGTGCGAGAAAAGAAGGGGAAGGGCAAGGTGAGCACCCAAAGATCAGTCATTGCGTGCTAAATTTACTTACCAAATCACAAGGCTGCTTCACGCTCACCCACGACGTCCTCAATTCCCATTGACCACGACATCGGTCTTGACGATATTGATGATGAAGACGACGATGGATATCAAGCCGACGCATCTGAACTTGTCAATATTGATAAGCCTGAGAAGAATCCTGCAAAAGGTGGCCGCCCGGGAAGCAAGATAATGGACCGGCTTACCCATCTCTGTTATAGGCGGCAGGCTCCTCATGAATACCTCTGGCGCTGCGTTGGAGGAGATAGAGAGTGCACGAGCGTCTGGAAGCAGAGATCAGTTCCCCGCATCCTTCGCCATGCCACACGCTGCGACAAATTAGCTACGGACCTCCGATATCTGGCGGATAGCGAGGCCAAGAAGGACTCACCATCGGAGAAGGTGAACGAGGCTAGGGCTAGGGAGGCCGCGATCCAGGCTCAGGAAGTGGCCGGGGGCAACATTGCTGTGGAGGCGTCTGGCAGTCAGGAATCAAAGTTGAAACCAGAGGGTCGTCTATATGCCATCTCGAAGGCGCAGGGTCGTAAAAATCGCGATGCAAAGCTCACGCTTGCAATCGTCAAACTGATCTGCGTTGCAGGAATGCCAGCTTACATTGTCTCACGTCCGGAATGGGGTGAATTCTTGCAGATTGCCGTTCCCTCGTATACGCCCTCGAATAGGGACAAGCTAGAGTCCCAAGACATTGTTAACGAAGCCGCATATGTCAGGGAAGAACAGCTCAAGCATCTACGCACCCACGATGACCTGACAATATCCTACGATGGCGGTACATCAACTCGACGTGACGCATACTGGACTATTCACGTCTCCACTCCAGAGCGGAAGGTGTTCTTAGTCAAAACAAGTGAGGCTACCACCGAGTCTCATACTGCAGAATGGATTGTGAAATTCATCACGCCGGTAAGGTTCGAGATCGCTCCAGGATAATGGTGACTGATTCAACATCGATGTTCAGACTGTCGAAACAATCGGTCCTTCGAGATTCTCAGGTGTCTGCTCCGACAGCACCGGGAACACGCGTCTGTCCCGCCAGATTGCGTGTACTCGTATCATCAAAACTGCACTGAATTTTGGGGATTGCTGTCATCACCTGAACCGCACAATCTGGAGTATTACTGCACTCCCGCACTTCCAAGAGGTCTGTCTTCATTCTATATTTCTATGCACGCTGTGCTGACCCCAATCAAAGACCGTTCGGATCGTTCGAAAGACCATTACGACTTTCCACACTTCTCACATTGGCCATGCCGCACTGGAAGCCGCACGCAGTCGAATGATCAAGGGCCCCGGGCTGGAAGCAATTGGAAAAACTCGGTTTGCGACCATCATTCTGTCGGCATTATCGGTGCAAAGAAATCTTGCTGCAATCAAAAATGTCATAGAGTCTTCCCCCGGTTCATATCCGGTACATAATTTCTTTTAGCTGTTGGTGCCCTGATGTCTCATTCTGATTATTTCCTGTCTCTTGTCAGGAGATCGAAGATTTTTATCAAACTGCGCCTGGTGACCTGCAGACCTTCGAGTTCGAGCGTAGCTTGTCCCAGCTATGCCAAGTGGGAACGCCAGCAGCGAAGGCTCTGGCTTGTCTCGAGGCTGTCGAAGCTACCGCAGCGGACGTCTATGTATTTTGGCATGCAGTCCTTCGTGCAACAGAGGACGTCCTTCAGATGAAGAAACTGCATTTTGAACGTGATGTCGCCGATGCAATCCGTGGCATACTCAATGCACGCCATCGGCAGCTGTTCGAAGATGGCAACATTGCCACCGATGGCTATCTTACGGCAACGTATCTCAATCCTAGTTTGTTCTCTCTCACTATCTGCTGTATATTCACATGTATTGACCGCCGGATGTGCTTCCCCACTGCAGATTATGTCAAATCGGATCTCTGGAAGGACGAGGTGATTGACGCTGCACTACCAGGCATCAGGCATCCGGAGATCTTCAAGAGGGTTCTGGTATTTCTTGCAGGTGTTGCAGCCAAAGAGATAGAACATGGCCATAAAGAAGTATTCACTCGGTGGCGTGGTCGCGCGACTGCCTTCAAAGAGCAATTTGTCGGGGAGGTGACGCAATATGCTCGGCACCAGTTTCCTTTCAACATGCCCGTCGACGAATCAATCCCCCAGGGTGTTCGTAAGTGGTGGATATCGACAATTGGACAATCTGCGCAGATCCTTCCGGTGAGTGCTTCCATATAATGTTGGCCCTTGCTGACATCCCGTCTCTCTAAGCATCTTGCCATCAAGCTGTATTCCGTGCGGATCAATTCAATGCCTGACGAGCGCACCGGCTCTGCATTCACATGGGTGACACCAAAGCTGCGGAACCGCATGTTGGTTGGTACCATGTCGAACATCACCCAGATTTGCCAGTTCCATCAGACAGAACGCAAGGTACTGTTCGGATTGTGAGAATTCACTATGCTTTCTCACAAACTCACCAAAAATAGGCTCGGCTCCACTCTAATTCTCATCCAACTCCCAAGTTCCACCAGATCAGATCACGAATATTCCCAGAATCACACAACGCAGACTCAGCTTTCGAAGAAGACGATAGAGAAGAAGCCGGTTCCGAGTCTTCCGACATGCGCGATGACCTGCAGCACGAACCTGAGAGTATACTTGTGGAGCTCCCATTTATCAATCTTTATGCTACTATAATCGAGGATTTACTAGCAGATGAACCAAGGGGTTTAGTGGACTCCGAGACTCCGACGCTGGGCGGCAATGAGGAGAGTGGTTTGAGTGCTGAGGACAATGATTTTAGTTTGGACATTGCCACGTATTTCTGATCTCAAATACTTTGTTCAAGCCCAATACATTGCATTCAACTTTGGCTCTCCACTATACACCTAAGCTTGAGCTCTGCGAGTGCCCAGACAATGCATCGTGCGACACGCAACTCAACGCTGAGATGAGCGCTTATTGAGGTCACGTGAGTTTCTCCCCGTAACTTACCGGTAACTTACCAACCCCCCTCCAGACCTTCTGGTAAGTTACCAGAGAGAAACCTCGAGGGGGGTTTTACCCGCAACCCTACCGTGGGAGTGGGGACCGGCAGCCTCTGCGAAATTCAAAACACTTGGGCTGTATGTACTGTCCCCGATGGTCAAGAAATATGCAGCTTCAACGGGCACAATTGGTAACTAGATTTAGGGGAGACTAAGATAGAATGACATCTTATAAGCAGATCCTTAGCCCAGACTTATATTTGGGTAAGGTTATACTAAGAGTGAGTTGATTCCGGGACAACCAAGCAATGAACAAAAAATCTGTTCCCAACAATTTGATCTTAGAACCCTCTGTATTCTCTCTATACAAATTTTCAGAGCCGCGCTGTTGGAATTATATTCTAGACGGTCGGATAGCCTAGTGGTAAGGCATCCCAGTACTATCGGGAGGACCCGGGTTCGATTCCCGGTCTGACCAGGATTTAGTCTTTCTTCACACGTGGCCTTGCGGAAGCTCAGGTAACACTTACAATGGTGGAGGCAGTGAGTTGCTTATGTAACACACCAGGTTGGGTGCACACAGAGGCAAGATCGAGTTTTGGGACACATCACACCGATTCCGGACAATTTCTCAGCATATACGTCATCTTTAGAGATATTTACAGGAGTCTAATCATTCGGCTGCTGTCTGGCGCTTTAGTGCTTCCTTGGAGATGCTCTCACAATGGCTTGGATCACCGTCTGAGCTGTTCGCTCATACGCTTGAGATCAGCCCGCCAGGTGCGCCAGGTTGCTCGAGGAGTCTTGCTTCGGCTGAGGCTGTTTCAGTCGGGTATAGCCGAGGTGAGTGGCACCTTCTCGACCCCTCTCTGGTGGGGTTCATAAGTCGAGCGCGTGGGTGCCACTAGCCCATCAGCTCTGACTTCCCCCCACCAGGTCTGCCCCCTTTCTACTGTTTTTTCAGCTGTCATCCTGACTTCTGCCTGCCAGACAGCACTTCTTTCTCGCTTACAGCTCATATTTCCCATCTTCCGAATCAATTTGATGGATGTCGCAGACCTGGCCAATCTGACACTCAGGGGGTCAAACAAGGGTGTCGGCAACCAGCCCGGGCATAACCAGGCAGGCCCCAGAGCGGGCGCAGACGGGAATGACGGGAGAGGAGGCATTCTCGCGCAGCATGTTAAGACCTGTGACAGCCTCGTTGATGGGTACCAGAATGGGGCCGTGGCCCGGAATGACACCATTGGGCTCCTCCTCGACGCTGCAAAGGACGTTGCGCATGCCCACCCGGAACTCGAATCCAGCCAGCTCAATGACTCATTCATTGCCTACCTCGCCATGCTTGACGAGGTCAACTTGGATTGACAGGCAGCTGCCGGAGAACATGGAAGAGATGGAGGAGATGCCGGAGAATGTGGGAGAGATGGAGGAGATGCCACCACCTCTGGTAGAGATGCAAGAAGACGAGACATTGGAGGAGATGGACGAAGTGGAGGAACTGGGCTAGGGCTCGCCACGAGTGCCACTCACTCGTGAGTACCCGTGGGTATTTGCGTGGGAAAGCCTGTGAAAGACTCGGCTCACGAGTC